CTTTTAAGGTTGAAACACGAGGATTAACATGACACTATTGCTAAAAACAGAGAGAGAGGGAAGGGAAAAACAGAGTTCCAGAAACATCTACGGGCCATCAAGGACCGTAACCGTAACACCATTGGCAGAACATTATCTAAGATTCTCATGAACGGGCCGTGTTTCGGATAACCACCGCATGACAAAAAACGCGGGATGTTGAGGACGAGGGAGCTCGGAGATTTGACAGCTCAGCATTGACAGAATATTAGAAATGCTTGGCAGACATGCCGCCATTTCTTGGACACACAGTAGGCTCACATTTGCATATCTCAGCACATCAGTTTCCTTTCTAGAATCATTGTATGTTATTAGTGGATCCACCAAGTCGAGTATCTTTCCTTCGTTCCACAATTTCCACGCCTGGAAATTATTCAAAACATGACCGAAGTTTATTATTATTATTATTATTATTTTTTCAGGAGATATGAAAGTTGGTTGCCCGTTGGTCTAATTATTAGCAAAAGCTCCAGTTGTTTATAAAAATGGTCCGTTAATGTGACACAGCAGGGCAGATCCAGGACTTAAAAATGCAGTGCAACTAAATTTAATATAATAATGTGTAAATTAAGGGTAGGCCGAGTAAATAAAACGTAGAATAGTAACTTACATATGCTATTAGGTAACATCTGTTGTTCTTCATTATAGAAGCTGGCACTTTTGCCACTCAAAATCTGTAATATCAGGACACCAAGGCTGTAGACGTCCGATTTTTCAGAGAACAGCCCGTGTAGTGTGTATTCTGGGGGCATGTAGCCACTGCACGAATGAAATTCACAGCATTAAGCATCTTAGTGTAACAAGAAATGTGTCTTGTCACAAAACTTAAAATATATATATATATTCGAGTAAGACACACTTACTATGTCCCGACAACCCTTCTCGTCTTAGCAGCTTGATCTTCCTTGCCACAAAAAATTCTGGCTGTGCCGAAGTCTGAAATTTTTGGGTTAAGATCGGTGTCAAGTAAAATGTTACTAGCTTTCAGATTTCTATGGATGATTCTGAGCCTTGAATCCCTAAGGAGATAAAGTAAACCTCGACAGATTCCCTCAATAATGTTTGCGCGTGTTTTCCAGTCAAGAAACTCTCGTTTACGTGAACCTGAGATTTAGGGTGCGATTGATCATGAACTCAACCAAATAAAATCAATCAAAACTCAGATTTAACTCAACTTTAACACAACCCTACTATCCTCAATATTATCAATATAATTAAATAATATCAACCAATCATTCTTACACATCACATCAACTTTAGTTCACTATTCATCTCCTCACATAATTTTAATTAACCATCACTTCCAATCATTTTTCTTCTACTTTTACATCAAATCAACTTTATTTATTTTATTTTAAATATTATTTTAATATACATACTAACAACTAATCATACCACTTTTTTCGAAATTAAGTATGGTTAAAAAAAACCAATAAAAACCAATCAAATCCATATTCAAGCAAAATTAGCTGCCAAAAAAAAAATAAAAATTCAAACCTCATCATGAGTGACGTACCAAAGATGTAAGCATCAAAGCTTCCATTGGGTAAATATTCATAAACAAGTATGTTTTCTTCACAGTCCACACAACAACCGATGAGTCGAAGAAGATTGCGAGTTGGAGCTTAGAAATCACTTGAACCTCGTTCAAGAACTCCTCCTGCATTGGTGGGATGACCTTGTTAGTCTTTTTACAGCGATTTCTAGTCCATTAGGTAATTTTGCCTGCAAAAAGAAGTTGTATATCCTAAAAATCAATATTAATGGAAATTGGTAAATATCTGAAGATGTTCGAATAAAAATGAAATACTCTGTAGACTGGACCAAAGCCCCCCTGTCCAAGCTTATTCCCAGGATCAAACTGGCCTGTCGCACTCGAGAGCATTTGAAATTTGAATAGTTTAAATTCCTCGACTTTAACTCCACGCACATTACATTTACGCAAATTTTCAACGAGATACACTGTGTCCGTGTCCTCGGTCGCGATCCATATTTTCTTGTTTCTTCGCTGTCCTACCACTTCTAAATAAATAACATAAGATTAAATATAAATCCAAAAAAAAATATTGAATGATTTATGAATATATCGTGTACCTGCGAACTTAAGCAACGCCTTTCGTTGACAGTACGCAGATACAAGGATAGTTATCACCACCCCCAGAACCACCAAAGTGACTATTATAATTACTGTGCGGTGTTTCTTTTTTCCTGCAAACATTCTCAGTTAACAAAGAATGAGCTCTGTTCAAAACGAGTGAACTCGAAATTTTCAAAGTTCGAGTTCACTCGTTTTGAACAGAACCACAGGGCAAATCAGTTCACTCGTATTTCACGCATATGACAGTCTCGACCGGGAGGTTAAACGTGACCCCAACATAACGGCGGCGGCCGGAGTTTGGCGGGGAGAAGAAGCAGAGTTTGAATTTTCGACCGTTGGAGATCAGGGAGTTGGGGTCGTGGATCGACTGATTTGCCCCTATGGTGTCTGTTTGCAGGGGAATTGTTGTTGAGAGACAACAGGCTATGAGGAAGAAAGAGAATTGAAGCATGGTTTGTTTCTATGGTGTTTTTACAGGTACAATGAGTGGGACCAAATAATTCAACAGGGGTCGTTGCTGAACCATACCACATAATTCCAGCAACAACAAAAGCTGCAAAAAAGACAGCCGCGATACTACTAGAGAGCACGGTTTCAATATTTCCTACCATTACAAGCTCTCCAAATAATGGGTGTCTGTCCTCCACATACTTTTCTTTGGTGAGATGTGGAATTTCAAAGAATAATCCTGGAAGATGTTGAAAAGATCAAATTGGGTCCACAAAAGTCACAAAATTTGCTATTAGCAACTTACTAATTAGACACAGACATACTTTCTTAACAAAACAACAGTTATACTTTCTCAACAAAAATGCTTATTAATATTGTAAAATAATTTAAAAAAACAATAATATTTGAGTACAAAACTACGTAAATCCGTTGAAAACCTAATAGCAGCATATCCAAATTATAAAAAATCCAGTAGGCGCCACAACTCCGGAATTTGTGCCTTTCCATTTTATATGTGTAAATAAATCACGAATATGATCAAAGTAATAAAAGCCCGAGTTTCTTTTGAGGTCCCAAGCTTATAGGATCCCACACTTTATTTAACCCATACTGCGGCCAAAAGAATTCCTATGACTAGAAAGATAAATCCTAGACTAATAACCCGATAACTCCAATTTAATCCAATTGTTGATTCCATAATTTCGTGCTAAACAATACTTCATAGTATGAATAAGTGTGAATACCTATTTTTGGCCAAAGACAAAAACAAGAATCAGATGATCGTTCCTACTATTCAAAATTTCTAATATAACATGTCAGACACTTGGCACTGTCCCTACTATTCTAATATACAGTTATATAAATGCTGAATTTTGAAACAAAAAATAACACAGGCACTGTTGCTAAAAACAGATCTCACAAACAAAAACAAATTAGAGAGAAAAACAGAGTTTCAGGAACTTCTACTGGCCATCAAGAACCGTAACCGTCACATCATAGGCAAAACATTCACTAGGATTCTCATGATTCCGGTTAACCATCGCACGGCAACAAACGCGGGCAGTTTAGGACGAGGGAGCTCGAATATTTCACAGCTCAGCATGGACAGAATATTAGGAATACTCGACCGGCCTACTGCCATTTCCTGCACGCACAATAGGCCAACACTTGCATATCTCAACACATCAGTTTCCTTTCCGGGCCTACTTCGACTGACATGAGCAGTAAATGAGAAAACATGTATGAGAAAAATCAACGAAACTAAGAATATGATGAGAGGTTCAAAATGAAGATGCCCACTCACATAAATCATATCGTAATTGTATCTATACTGGAGATTTGAACAAAACTGAGGGTTCATTTAAGTAACTCAATTGCATAAGTTCATCCACACCACCATCAAGTATATCAGGGTTTGCAGAAACCAGAGATTTTTAAATTCACATTACGCACCTAGATACAATGAAATGTTAATAAAAGAAAAGAAAAAAAAGGTAAATAAAATGACCTCCCCAAAAAAGAAAATGAGGGAAAAAAAAAAAAAAGAAAAGAAAAATCAACCAGAATTGTCAAACTACTGCTTACTTTTTCCTCAACCAACTATACCAATGCATCATTTCCAGAAGTTTGAAGAGTAGTCATAGTCCCCAGGTCCCATTCGCCATCAGGAACCTGAAACGAAGACTGAAGCTTCACAATCAGAGCCCATATAAGAAAAACAACTGTAAATAAATAAATCTAGAGACAACGAAAATAAAAACCAGAGTACAGTATTCCCCCAAATTACAAACCCGAAGGCGGCGGAGTGGTCAACGGCGATTTGGAAGCTCCATTAAAGGGGATGCTGAGGATTGCGAACAGCGGGCTGCAGCTTCGTCTCCGGGCTACTCATCATAAGGTCCGCTGGTGAGGTCGAAATAGGGAGCATTTGGAAGCTTGTTTGTGCGATTTGGAGAGGTATTGTTTCGGAATTAGGGGTTCTTGAGGTGAAGGAGATTGATGAATTATTTGATAATGGGAAAAGTTTGTTTGTGACTGCCAATGCTTGTTGGATTGGAGTTGGACTGGAGAAAGAGCCGATGGAGAAAGGGAGCAGTGTGTTTTTTCACTTTTTCTTATATTCTACTGAAGTACAAATACAATGTTTCCCTCGAACAAGTCAACATCTTCCACACAAACATATTGATTTGCAATTTTGCGTATGAACGACCTTTCGCGTGCGAATTGTAGAAACCACAGCCTCTTCCCGTATGAAATTCCAAACCTTCGAGAAGGGCGGGCAAGAGAAAGGAAATTAATTGAGAGGGGGCAAAAAAACTTGGAAAAAAATTTGAGAGTGCAAAAATTAATTTAAAAGGGGGTAAATTAAATTTTTTAATTATAATAGTAAAAAAAATTAAAATATTAGGTGGGGCAATTGCCCCTCTATGTGTCAATGTAGTTTCGCCCCTTCATGGAGTACCTTGGCCTAATCGACTTGAGTAATAAACTCTTTATCGTCTTGCTTGACCTGCATGCTTATAGAAATAATAATATAATAATAGTCCACATGTTAAAATCTTAATTTCGATGAAATAAATAAACTGAGATGGTTTCCAATCCATTTATATAACATATTATTTTTAATTAAACTCATTATTTATTCAGTCTTACATTAACAATCTAAGATGAATTGAACAAGAACATACCAAATTTAAGAAATGCCAATTTTCAAAACACATATTATTAGTAGTGTATAATTTTCAATAATAATAATAATACGGATGTAAGAATTGAAAAAATTTATATATAGAATTTTTTTTGTGAGAATGATGGTTTATGATAAAAATAACATTAAATTCTTTTGAGATTTCAACTTATATTTTTGTATGTTTGTGCTCTAGGGAATTCCATTATGAAAAATATGTGTTTATTTATATTTTTTTTATTAACTAATTATGATACACTACAATACAAATAACATCATTAAAGAAATTATATAAATAAATAAAAGCAATATATAAAGAGAAAATACTATAGTCCCATTGGAGGGTTTAACGGAATGGTTCCTCGGATATTCCAAACAATTAAACATGACCGCATGTACATCTTAACACATGTTATATTTCCCTTTATATTGCTTTTATTTATTTATATAATTTCTTTAATGATGTTATTTGTATTGTAGTGTATCATAATTAGTTAATTAAAATATATAACTAAACACATTTTTTTTCATAATCGAATTCCCTAGAACACAAACATACAAAAATATAAATTGAAATTTTTAAAAAAATTTAATGTTATTTTTATCATAAACCATCATTCTCACAAAAGAATTTCAACAACGATAGCTATATATAAAATTTTTCAATTCTTACATACGTATTATTATTATTGAAAATTATAAACTAGTTTTATACTATGCATAATTTAAAATTTAATATGTCAACATTTCTCTTTAGATTATATAATATTGAATATGAAATACATTCTAGTCTTACAAAATCACACAACAATACAAGGGTTGTGTGTGCTTGAAACAACCTTGATGAAAGTTATTTTTCATGATGTATATAAAATATTTTAGTACATTATCATAGAACAATTTAATTTAGGAGTTTTTATACACATTTTTCAATAATATTTTAGTAAATTTTAGATAATTTCATACATTCTTTGAAAACAAATATAGAATATTTTAGATATTTTTAAATGTGTTATAGGTGCTTTAATATCTTACATAGATATTGTTGAATAGTCTTTTCAAGCTTATAAATATTATTTATGGGTATTTGTTAATTCACACATTTAGTTAATATACAATTAAATATATCTAGTTAATATACAATTGTGGGGAAAATAAAAAGACTGTTTACAAGTTAGTAAAATATGGGGAAAAAAAGAAGTTATGGGGAAAATATATTTTTAAATATATTTAAAAAAATAAATTATGAGGAAAATAGCGAAACCGATAACACGTTGTTTTTTAAAATTAAATACATTCAAAAAAAATATAAAATTTAAATATAGAATTAAATTAATGTTTAGCAAAGATCTAGATCTACCCGACACCGCCGTATTCCGATAAACAGATCAATAAGTTGGAAGCCAAGAAAAAAAAGAAAAAAACGAAAAAGGAAGAAGATTTGAGTTATGACAGGAAAGATATAAAACCCTACCTGGGATAAGAAAAATGAGTTATGACAGGAAAGATATAAAACCCTACTTGGGATAAGAAAAATAATGGTATGAAGTATGCCTTTAATTTCTATCAATTGTATACATACATTTTCTTTTATCAACTTTTATTACTACTTTATAACTTCATATTCATTATATACATGCTCTTTCTTTTATGGACTTCTATTACTTTATAACTTCATGCACTTTGTACTTCTATTACAACTTCATATTCATTCTATATATAATTATTGAATACGTATAGTGTAAACTTCCTGCACTTTGTACTTCTATTACAACTTCATATTCATTCTAGATATCATTATTGAATACGTTTAGTGTAAATGGATACTCTCACGCTTTGAAATTTCATGTGGCAAAAATCATACTTCGAAGTCAGACTTGAATATAAATTAATATTTTTTATACAAAAATAAGTATGTTTAAATTTCATTTAATGACTATATTATTCACAGTAAATCCTAATTGATCTCTTCTTTCTTTTCTTCTACAATTGGTTACTATAAACTATTGTAAGTTTTCTTTTCCTACATTACCATATACTAGTGTGTAGCCCGTGTAACGCACGGGTAAACAATATTAAATAATAATTATAAATTAAAGATGATTGTAAACAATATTAACTAATAGTTATAAATTAAAGATGATGGTACACAACGTTATAAATTAAAGATGATGGTACACAATACTAGCAAAAAATTATAAATTAAAGATGTAGAGTTAATATATGATATAATTTTTCGTATATCAATTGTAAACAATACAAAATTATCTTATATAAAAAAATTAAAAAATATATGTTTAAAATATTAAAAGTACCTAAACCGTTATATAACGTATGTAAAAATATCTAAAATTTTATATATCA